CCCTTGCCAATTGAAGGGCTCATGGTTTGAGGTACTTATTTTTTTCTGAAGTGATACTGCGTTCTGGAACTTATGATAAAGACATAGATCTAGTAGAGATATTTTATCGTTATTATCTACTTTTTGGGGGTTTTTTTGCTTGGTGGTTTATTTGTTTTCTATTGCGTAGTTCAATTTTGTGAAGTTATTCGGTTTACATCTTCCTAAGTAAGTGACCAAAAACTCAGATGCTGTCCTTAGCGGCAATCTGTCTAAAACGGCTACATTTCTCTGTGGTCTTGAATAACCAATGGAGGATTTCGTGGCCTAGAGGTTATGGTGTTGGCATCTCATTCAAAGATCCCGGGTTCGAATCTGGGTAGCGACCGAAAAATTTTCTTCTTTCACCTCCTTCCCTGCTCTCTATCAATGTTCTGTCGTCTGCTTTCGTCTCCCCTTTCTGCCCCCCACCCCTTCACCTCCTTTGCCTCCTCCTCTGGGCTCCTGACTATTTCTGCCGCCTTTCTACTGCTACTCCATGGCTCTTTCTTACTGCAGTCTTTCAGCCACACCCCTGATCTTCAGGTAGGAAAGACATACACCTAGCCTTCTCGGACCAACTGAAAATGTTTAATGTGTCCCGTGCGGTCATATGGCCTTATGCAGTTGCGAGTGCCGTAAAACACTTACAAAAACAAACAAAAAACAAAGAGAACAACCGTCATGGAAAAGTCCGACTGTATCGTAATAAAAAATCTGATCTGTAATGACCGTTATGGACAGGCCCGAGACTTTTTGCTTTTTGTTGTGTTTTTAAATATAAGTGTCTTAAGGCACTCGCAACTGCATAAGGTCATATGAGCGCGCGGACACAGTAAACAATTTCAGTTGTTAGGAAACTTTGAATTTTGCCCGAGTGTCGGCCGAAGCCTACTCTTATCGATTTTGAACCGCCAAGGGATCTTTAACGTGTGGAACTTGCACACGGGACCTCCGAGATTTTTTCGCCCTTGATCGAGAAGGCTAGGTGTGGCTGAAAGACAGCAGTAAGAAGGCGCCAAAGAGTATCAGTGGAAAGGCTGCAGAAAGAGTCAGGAGCATAGAAGAGGGGGCAAAGGAGGTGAGGGGGTGGGGGAAGAAAGTGGAGACGAATGAAGACTGTATCGTAATCAAGCGTCCCTCCCTCTCTGCTCAGGTGTTGTATCCACTCAGCAAGGATTGCCCCGACAGGCACGGCCTAAGCAGCCCGCTTCCTAAATAATCTAAATTGTGTAGAAGGCGGCGAGATTTGTTTACAACAAATATTAGTCTAGTTAAATGAGGCAAAGAGGAGCTTGGAGGTGTGAACAGTTAGGAAGTATTAAAAATAATAGCATACTCACAAAAAGAATACCAAATACACGATAACTGTCAACGTTATACCAGTGCATACAATTTTACAAACATGCTATTGGTGGTCACCACTGTGCACTGCCTTTTCTTTTCTTTTCATTCTTTTCCTTCTGCTTTTGAGCCAGGGTTAACGTGTCTTGCTCACGAACACACGCCAGTGACCACCCGTCTACATCTCGAGTCACCGACACTTGTTTGACATTATTTGTGAGTCCGAACTCTCTAACCACTCGACGTCTGGATCCTCCAGAAGGTCAGCGAGATGTGCCAGTGCGATAGACCAGTGTGCTTTGATGTTACATTTAACGAGATTATAGACTTTCCTACCTTGCTTTTGTGCTGTCACCTTGCTTTTGAAATTTATTCATGATAAGATTATTATTGTCTTTATTCTTTCTTTAAGCATAATATACATTCATTGAATTGTATGCCCCCCCCCCCCCCCCCGACATTTCCGATCTAAATGACGAAAAAAACAACAACAAAAAACAAAAAACAACAACCCCAGTGACTTTTACACTATGACTCCTGTGGGTTTTTTTTTCGTTTAAAAAACAAACAATCAAGAATCCTATGACAGACTTAGTTAAGGGTTTTAGAACTAAACGGAGTTGACCAATTTCATCCAGTCTCACATCATCATCATCATCATTGCTTTCTCGCCCTGGATCAGGGTATAGGCCACGAACAAACAATTT